GCTTCAGAGTGATGGAGGCGTAGATACGATGAAGAGATCCAAGTGCTACAATATAAATATCTATCAGCCGTCGAGAAACCACGGATATTGAGACTCTGCAAGCCAACCAACATGATTAAAAAATCACACAAAAACCTGGGTTTTAAACTCGGGTAGGCTTAATAGTCACATCCATGTACAAAACGAGCAATTCTGGAGGACGACCCATTTGCTTCAGTAGGTGCTTGGATGATTTGTTAACAAAAAAAGGGTCCACGTTTGTTTCGTCGCTCCCATAAGACACCCATCTCCGTCCAATGTCGTCGTAAAGGTAAACAGTTTCGAATAAATGTCGTATCCGGTGTGGATGAACTCGCGCACATATGCTGCGATGTCATTACCCACATCGTTGTTTCCGAGGTTTTCGCACGAATAATACTTGACACAGTTTTGTATAGATCGTAAAGAAGGAGTCTGGGAGGCTGGTAGATTGAGCTTGTGACGAAGCAGGCTTTAATGCGCTTAGGCTTTAACCATGTTCTGGGAGTGTCTTGCATAATGCTTTGTGGAGGATAAACAGCAAACCTTGTTTGGGCGTAGGCGCGCCTTTTAGGCGGTTGCCAGTCTCGAGAAGAGATACTGCTTGATGCTTTGACACGAGAGCGGTCTGGTGTCGGAAACTCATATTTTGCGTTGATTCGTCTGAATATCATTTTCCGGGAGAGACACTGGGTCCTACGGTCACCGAGCTCGACGGAAGGTATCGCCGAGATGCGAAACGGGGCTCCCGGAAGATAACAGACAACAGAGCAGAATATTCTTAGTCCAAGACACGTGCACACTCTCCGGCAAGTTCCTGAACAGAGATGGGTAATGCCTGCCGTCAATACCAGATCATGATAACTTATGTACTCGATTGAAAAAGCCAACAGATTAAGTTGACTGGGAAAGGGAAAATGGAGTTTCGATCAGCCCAAAGATAGGTAAAGCGGATCGTGCGGACAAAAATAGGATACCACTCAAAACCTGAGCAATTCGGCTGTCTCGTCGATATGTACACCCCAAGCAGCGTTGTTTAGGCCACTAAAATCATTAGTTACGTGAGGTGACTGTTCAATTACACCCGACCAGTTATCCGTTTACTTTTGTACAATGTAAAATATATCAGCATCTGCACTGCTGCATTGCTCTCGATTGTAGTAGGGGGAGCACTCACATGGGTCCATGTCTTTTCCATAGTCGTCAAAACCAATCTTTTCAGAATTCTCAGTATTTGAGACTGACCGTGACCCGTTTGGCAAGTTATTCGAATGGTGCTCAAATTACACCACTCCCAATTCACGGACCACAGCATCATCAATTGTATGCTCGCGGTCGATTTAAAGTGCTACATTACCAATAAAGTTATGAATTGCAAGTTCCTCGATATCTTCCAATCCACGCTCCTAGGCATCTCCAAATACACTGCTGTCTTCAAAACTTGCGAGTAGACGTTACACCATCTCTTCTGTACCTTTCCCGGTCAAATCTATAGGATTGGCATCTGCCCGGCGTCCGCGACAACTGCTGTTGAGATGAAAAGAAATATTCCTGTTGAACGATTATAGCTTAATATCGCTCAATTTCCACGGGTATCGTACCATTTATGGTGGTCGCAACTTGCTATCCGGTGAGCTTGATTTTTTTGTGTTGCTATCGTAGGTTAACGATGACCGTGGCCTGTGCCGCTGCGTAACACGTAATCTAACCCGGCACGGGGTGATCACGCTGGCGCTAGTGGTCCGTATTGAGGACTTTGCTGCGTCCACCGGGTGGCTGGATGGCTTCCTTTTACCTCACAACCTCGTGATTAAAAACGAAAAGTAGGAAGAGACGAAGATCATCGAGAGCAGTTTCAGTCGTGACCACATGCGGACGTTGGTCGAGGATCGCGCCACCCGTTAGAAGATCATTCACAACATGGATGAGACGACCATGTTTTGCGACCACAACCGCGACAACACCTTTGACGAGCGCTGCCCACTGTCGTAATCACCAAGTCGTACGGATTTTGAGGAGGTCACTTTTGTTGTGCATCTGCCGACGACAGCAAGA